ATTTACCTTCATTTACCTTCATTTACCTTCATTTACCTTCATTTACCTTCATTTACCTTCATTTACCTTCATTTACCTTCATTTACCTTCATTTGTCTGCCTAAATCCTTCTGTTAATTATATTGGCTAAAACACACTAAATCCTTCTTATTTTCTCTGAGCGAATCGAGGTTGCAATGGGAATACCGTTTTTGCAGTGATTAAAGATAAAATTGCAATCGCAAAAAAGAGAGTAACAAATTGTCAGAGCAACTGAGCAAGAGATAGTGATATTGAGCAAGAGTGAGCAAGAGATATGGCGTAATGATTCGTTTTGCCGTTTTTAAGTGACATCTTGCCTTCATTTGCCTTCCTTTGTCTGCCTAAATCCTTCTGTTCTCATTCTTTGTTTAACTATTTCCTGATTATTTGCCGTTCCCTCATTCCTTCACATCTTCATCATTTCTTGTTTTCTGTCCAATCACTCAATTTCCGGTCTTCCCCCATTCATTGTTGACATTTCTCGCCTAGCCAATCCGATCATCAAAGTATCTTTCACGATTAGTCACTCCAATCCAAAGTTTTATTGAAATGGGTTTAATGAGTTTAATGGCTTAATGAGTTTTATCGAAATTTGTTCTGACTTTATCTTCATCTTCTGCCTTTCATCTTCTGCGTTTATCTTCTACCTTTATCGCTATTCATCTAATTACAAGTGGTGTACTTTGTGCTCTCTCTAGCTGTCTTCCAGTACATCTCCAGTGCCAATGTGCTCTGTGCTCTGTGCTCCTCGTAATCATTCCCCATCTAGCACACCTCTATCCCTATAACTTTCAATTTTCCCATCCGATTGGCAAAAGATTTCCGTGTACAATTAACAAGTAATTTTTGAACTCTTGAAAACTCCTCTTGAAAAAATGAGACAAAAAAGTCAATTGAACTTTTTCTCAAGGCTAATAACTACATATAAGCTTAAATTTTTGGTAAACTTTTGAGTAATCAGTGAAAACCCCAGCAAACAAATTGCCAGAACTTATCACTACCGAATCGCCATCTTAACGACTCTGTGCCTTTCTTTTTCTGTCTCTGCCTATCAAAAGCAATAATCTGAACTCAAATTCACACAAAAAAAGGGAAAAGGTGAGGTTTTATTGCTCAGAATGAACGATTTTCCCAGAATTTCTTTAGAATTGAAACTTTTCAATTACTGATCTGAATTTGAATTTAATTTCTCAGTGCTTTTTTTTCTATTGACTTTTCACAGCGTCTGTTTTTTTGAGCTTTTTTTTGAGTGTCTCAGACTTGAGGGGATTTCTCTTTTGTTGGGATTTTTTTAGAGATACGGAAATCAACAATTATTCGCTTAAAGTTTACGATGATGATTTCTGATTAGCTGCACTTACTTTGTGTTCGTTTTTAAATCATCTTGATGATCTAAATTTTCTAGATAAGCTCTATGATTCTGGTTACTGCTTGCTTGATACAAAACCATTTTCATTCATTTTAAGAAAGCCTATGTTTCGCTCTTAAGAAAGCCTTAAGAAAAGGCCACTTAAGAAAGTCTATGTTTCGCCCTTAGGAAAGCCTATGTTTCGCCCTTAAGAAAGCCTATGTTTCGCTCTTAAGAAAGTCTATGTTTCGCTCTTAAGAAAGTCTATGTTTCGCTCTTAAGAAAGCCTATGTTTCGCCCTTAAGAAAGCCTATGTTTCGCTCTTAAGAAAGCCTATGTTTCACTCTTAAGAAAGCCTATGTTTCAAATTAAAGCTAGTCAAAAAGCCGTTTAGCTTTTTAATGCCATGCTTTGGTCTATTTTTTTTGAATCCCTTTGCAATTTCAAAGATAAAAACAAGATTTTTAACAAAAAACAACAATTTCAATGAACCAGTCTCAACCTATTCGAATATTCCTTCACTGGTTGAGCTAACCATCCAGTATTGATACATATTTCAAAATAAACCTATTCAGGTAGGCATTCAATCTCTGAATGAACTTCACTTTGTTAAGCTCTTGAAATTTCCTGGTAACACATTTTCATCACTCAAAACTCACTAGCACAGCTGCTGGCCGACAAATGCGAATAGATAATTCATTTTATTGCCTGCGATATTGACTTTTGAAATGTTACTGAAATGATCGACTTACTGCTCCTCAATTCCTTAGTTTTTTTTCAATACTTATTTTCAAATCACCACAGAAAAGCCACCATTTCAGTTTCATGCTGAAATCTGCTGAAATTTTAATCGTTCATAATCTTTGCACTTATAAACGATTAGACGAAAAGCTTTAGCATCTTTTGCTAGAGCTTTCATTTCCATTTCCATTTCCATTTCCATTTCCATTCCTTTCTGTGTTTGCGTGTTTGTGAGTGCATGAGTATAATCTCAAATAATCTCGGAGCTTCCTTTCGGGAATCTCTCAGTGACGGGAAAAAGAGAGTAGAGTGAAAATCCGCCGCACCTCTAATGCAAAATGACAGAGAATAAAAGTCTCTTCATCTTTTTCATAGATTTGTTTTTTGGTTTTGTTTGTTTAGATTTGCATATCATAGTTTCAAGTTTGGATAGTTTAGCTAAAGGAAAATTTTTAAACCTAGGAGTATCTACCGTAAATACTGTAATAGTACCCCACCCCCATAATGACGGTGCGGAGTGTTGCGTAGTCTAGCTTTGAACGAGTTTTTCTTGACACTGGTTTATGCTACAATGCTCGTTTTAGTTTCAAAAAATAGCCCTGAATTTCAGCTATTTTTTGATACCAAAGACGCATTTTTTGAAAGTACGGGTGCTTTGAAAAAAATGAAAAACTAAAAAAACTTTTGCGGCTACGCGACTGTACGAGGGGGTGGGGTACTATTACAGTATTTACCGTAGGTTTTGAAGAAGTTAAATCTCTCTCTAATCAAAGGAAAATAAGCTAAAAGACTTGTAGATTCAAATATTGAATAATAAGTTGATAAGAATCGTTGAGTTTAATTGGTAAGCAAATTCTGGGCCTAGCTGATAGCTTGATTTACCGTAAATACTGTAATAGTACCCCCCGTCGTACAGTCGCGTAGTCGCAAAAGTTTTTTTAGTATTTCATCTTTTTCAAAGAGCAATCGATGAGAGATCGTAGTCTTGGGTCAAAAAAAATCGACAAATATTCGCTCATTCCCATTCGATCAAGCCACAGGGCGAGCATTTCAGCTGCCTATAGAATTTATAGAAAAATTCATAATGAAACTTACCGTAAATACTGTAATAGTACCCCATCCCCTCGTACAGTCGCGTAGTCGCAAAAGTTTTTTTAATATTCCATCTTTTTCAAAGCGCCCGTACTTTCAAAAAATGCGTCTTTGGTATCAAAAAATAGCCCTGAATCTCAGCTATTTTTTGATACCAAAGCGCGCATTGTAGCATAAACCAGTGTCGAGAAAAACTCGTTCAAACCTAGACTACGCAACACTCCGCACCGTCATTATGGGGGTGGGGTACTATTAGGTTGTCCAATAAGTAATGCGTGTTACTTATTTCGATGTTACTCATCAAAACCAGCTTCATTCTATTATGACGGACTTCACTCTTTGCTCGGACGATGGAAAAATGTTGTTGATTGTTGTGGAGAATATATCGATTAATAAAGTTCTCTTTTGTTAATTTTGTGATATTTTGAAAATCGTGTCAAAACACGCATTACTTATTGGACAACCTAATATTACAGTATTTACGGTAGTTGTTAAGTTCAAAGTAAAGCATGATTTGAATGATGCGAAGGAGTTTTGACTCAAAACAAAGCCTTAAACCAGCTCTTGTACACTCAAGTGATAACTATACGTGTGTGAGATTTGTCGACCAACAAGCAGGTGTCATTGTTGGTGTATGGGTATCGTGTTTGTTTTTGGCTTCCCTTCAGAATGGAAAAAGAGGAGCCAAGTGCGAGGGATTGGTCTGTGCATATATAACAAGCTCGACCATCACACCATTGTTGTTGCAATGGTTGTTGCAATGGTTGATGGAGTTGAATTCTTTTCTATTCATGCTTAAGTTCATGAATATTCTTTAATTTCATTAATTTCATTAATTTCATTTAAACAATCTAATCTTTTTGTCTTTATTTCAATGAGATCTTTTCGATTTTCCCTTTTCCTTCATTGTTTGTGTTTGTCGGTGTTATCGATGCTCCCGTGCACCCCTAAACATTTCTTGAAAGCAAGCAAAGAGCTAACATTTATAAATCCATAAATTCTTAAGAAATTTCATTCAATATTTTAAAGTTTTTATTAGAATTGATCAAATAATAACAAAATAGTCAAATCTCTAAACAAAACCGATCTTTTTATCTCTTCTATTCTTTTCTTAGCCTTCTTCTATTTATATTTCTATTCAAACTGAGCAATCTCATTAGTTTCCTTTTCATTTCTAAATATTTTAAAGTTTTTAATAGAAAACAGTCGAATCTCTAACCAAAACCGATCTTTTTATCCTTTCTATTCTTTTCTTAGCCTTCTTCTATTCAAACTGAGCAATCACAGTAATTTCCTTTTCATTTCAAAATAAAGTCTTTAGTAGAATTGATCAAATAGTAACAAAATAGTCAAATCTCTAAACAAAACCGATCTTTTTATCTTTTCTATTCTTTCCTTAGCCTTCTTCTATTTATATTTCTATCCGAACTGAGCAATCTCATTAATTTCCTTTTCATTTCTAAATATTTTAAAGTTTTTAATAGAAAACCGTCAAATCTCTAATCAAAACCGACTTTTTATCTTTTCTATTCTTTTCTCAGCCTTCTTCTATTCGAACTTTGTCTTAAAAGTCAAAGAAATCTTTTCTCTCTAAAATGGAACGAATTGATGGGGTCTATTGTTATCCGAATCGTTGTTTCCTTCAAAAGAGAACACTTATGACAAACTTTACTCGAAATAGACGCCTTATTACTCTTTTTTTTACAATGTTCACTGTTTGCTTTGATTCAAATTTTGACTATTAAATGTTTTTCTGTTAACTATCTTTTAAAATCAATTTCAGTAATGAGATAGAGGAATGTCAGGGAAAAAGATTCTCCGAAGATTCTCTTCAAGTATTTCTGGTAAGAGTTAGTTAAATTCTTTTTTTAAAATCAATCTTTAGATCTACTCAGTCTTCAAAAGAAATGTGAAGCAGAAGATGAAAAAGATTGGTGAAAGAAAGAAATTTTATATAAATAATATTTTTTTTTAAGCGCAACTCCTTTACACCAAGCGATTAGAATTGGGAGCTCGGTGATGGCAAAGAATATACTTGAGAATAAGCTTGTTTGGGTGGATGAAGAGGATGGGAAAGGTGAGGCAGAAAGCTAGAAATTAACAGTTAGATTAGTAAGATCTGGTTTTTGAAACTGGCATTGACATTGTTGTTGTCATTGTGTAAATTATATTGAGAAGTAGGTCGAACAGCTCTCCATTACGCGATTGAGCAAGGATCCTACGATCTTGCCTCGATTCTCCTCCAAGCTGGCGCAAATACAGATTGTGTTGATTTCTCGGGATTGTCTGCTTGCCATTTAGCGGCAAAAGATGGATTTATCGATTTGGTAAACTGATTCTTTGAAAAAGCATTTAAATTCTTAAATTCTTTTTCAGTTTGATCTCCTAATTTATTATAAATGTGATCTATGTGCTGTTGATAAAACTGGAAAGACACCGTTCGATCTGGCTTCTGAATTTGGTAGAGAGAAGGTTGGGATTTTGAATTTGTTTATGAATAAGGTAATGGTAAAGAATGAGAGTGAATGATAGGTAAATGGGAAGATGGAGGTACAGTTATTTTATTTATTATATGTGCTGTTGATAAAACTGGAAAGACACCGTTTGATTTGGCTTGTGAATTTGGTAGAGAGAAGGTTGGCATTCTGAATTTGTTTATGAATATGGTAAAGAAAGATTTCCGGGAAGGGGATTGAACTCTCGATCTTTTTACTTTCTGAACAAATGCTTTAACTGTTAAGCTATGAGTTTTCAGATGGTTGAGCGTTTTTTGGAGAGTCGGGTAGCTGTTTCCTCTTTGATGCAAGCTGGAGTCTCACACACGGCTAAAGCTCTTCATTTAGCGGCAAGAATGGGACATGTGAATGTGAGTTTTGAAGTCTCGGACTTGATCTTATTTAGCTTTGACTAGCTTTGACCTAAACTAGTTTTTAATGAAGTAAAGTCAATCGTGTAAGTCTTTCACTTACGATTAACATTCGCTAAACCTTAATTAGTTCATTTTTAGATTGTAGCTCTTTTATTGTCTCATGGTTGGCCGATTAACACAATGGGATCAAATGGAAGTCCTTTACATGAAGCTGGATCTCATGGACGAGTTCAAGTTGTTCGCTTTCTCTTACATGTACGTTTAACAAATCAATCAACAACAATTTCTGCTTTTATCTTTAAATCTATTGTTTTTTTATTATTTAAAAACTAAATCTATACATAAAAATCAAACGTTTGACTAAACTAAAAGTGCTTTTAAAAGTAAGGTAAAAGTTTTAGAAAGATTTTAATAAAAACCCGTATTTTGGTGACGATTTTACGGGTTTCCAAGCTTTTGCAGAAGCTCAACATTCTAATCTCCCACTATTATTGAGATACTTGTTCTTCTTTTTTCTTTAACTTTTTACTGGATGGTTCGTGGATTTCATCTTCTGATTCAGAGATTGGATGGGGTTGAGCCAACGTGATTTTCATTCGGATTGGACTTGTTCCACCAGTAATCTAAAGACAATCAATAATACTTATATAAGACAAAAGAAAACTTTCTATTCTTTTTATTTGAAATGCTCCTAGTCAACTAGCTGTAATACTAAAATTACGTTTTCTTTTTGCTCAAGGCTTTCGGTATTTTCTCTAATAGTAGTGCACCCAAGCGAGCCGAGTTGATGACGATTTTACGGTTTCCAAGTTTTCGCAGAAGCTCAACACTCTAATCATCGTCAAGATCTCATCGTCAGCTACATTTTCCGACCCCACATCGATAGGTTCTGATAAGCGGTTTTCGAGATTTCGAGGAATTTAGGCAATGCTCTCGGTGCACTACTATTAGGGAAAATACGGTCTATATTGTTAAAAATGGGCTCATTCCGCGTCTTTTTTAGTCAGTCTTTTCTTCCCCATGGTTACCGTACTCTCTCTAATAGTAGTGCACCCAAGCGAGCCGAGTTCGTGACTATTTTACGGATTCCAAAGTCTTCACAGAAGCTCAACACTTAAATCCCCACAAGATCTCATCGTCAGCTACATTTTCCGACCCCACATCGATAGGTTCTGATAAGCTGTTCTCGAGATTACGAGGAATTTAGGCGACGCTCTCGGTGCACTAGTATTAGAGAGAATATGGTAATAAGATTTAAATCTTACTATTTTACTAAATCATCGTATAAACAGAATAAAACAAATGTTTACTCTGAAAAAATGCTGAAATTTTCGCATATTGTTATTTTAATGAGACGTGAGAAGTGTAAAAAGAGAAGGGGAAACGAGAAGAGAAGAGATAACCCTTTAACCCCCACAAATTTCATCTCTGTATAGATAAACCGGTTTTAACCGAGTTTTTTTGCACAAGTTATTGAAACTTTTCTGTAAAATTTGAAAAAAAAACTACAAATCTAGGCTAATGTTGATGCTAAATTGGAGAACAATCAGGGCCAAACGGCTTACGATTATGCGAAAAAGCATCAGAATCGAAATCCGATCACCTACAAGGAGGTTCGATATCTGCTGAAAGGTGGGTTAATTAGATCAATTAGATTTTTTTTATATTGCTCAATCTTTATTCATTGCCTTTATCCCAAAAATCTCGACCGGAGTTGATTCAGTAACTAGTAAAAGTTCTAGTTTAGTGTTAGAGCTTGAAAAGTGGTTTACAATGGTTTACTAGTGGAAAGCTAATATATTCAATCAGCTTTTCAACTTCTATTAGTTCTCGAAACAATTTCAAACTTGAACTAGAAGCTTGTAAGTAAATTGTTTAAGTAGTTTAGTCATGATTACTACTAAACAGCTCGTGATCTTAAGTAATTTGATTTTCGTTCCTTTTGATAAGCAGCTTTGTCTTTCTTTTCCTTTTTCTTGTGTGCCAATTTGTGGTCATCGTGTGTTGTAAATTGTGGATTTGAGGAAAGAGAAGACAAGGGAAAGAGAAGGGAAAGACAAGGGAAAGACAAGGGAAAGACAAGGGAAAGACAAGGGAAAGACAAGGGAAAGACAAGGGAAAGACAAGGGAAAAGAAAGGAAAATAAAACAGGTGTGGATTGAATGAATAGCATAGGAATATCATAAGATTTCCACCATTTGTACATTTTATTTATCATTCTTTAGCTAAATATTAAATCAAATCAAATCAAATCAAATCTTCGAGAATTTTGTTGATTTTGTAATCTTTTCTTTTTATCTCTAACTTTGTCCTTTATATCCATGAAGTTCTCGCTTTAAAATCATCGATTTTAAGCATTTAAGCAGATAAATATTTGAATAGAAAGCCGATCAACTCGAAGTAGTAGATAAAATAGATCATTTGAGCAATTCGGGGGGAAAAATGAAGTGATTGTTCACCCTTTTCCATTCACAATCCCTTTCTCTTTCTCTTTTCCCGGGTTCTCCGATTTCCCGCGGATTTATTTATTCGTCATACACACCCAACATAAAGCCAAAGAGTGAACCTAGTCTATAGATTCATTCCGGAGATTCACCCCTCATTTCACGAATTCTTGGCTGGCTATCTGGCTATACAATATGTTTAAATTATTTTGAATGCTCACTAAGAAATTGCTTGAACTTAACATTGATTTTGAATAACGCAAAATACGTGCTTTTCTTATAAGAATACATGCTTTTCAGTTTTCATTCAGTTTTAGAGATAAGCGCTTTTAAAGTTTTTTGAAAAAATGGCACCGCCGGGGGTATGACACCAAATTTTGTCACCACCAAGCAACCGGATAGTGCAGTGGTTAGTGTGCTTGGCCCTGACACTCCTCCTGGGTCGGGGTCTCTGGTTCGAATCCCCTCATTGTCACTACTCTTTTTGCTCAGTACTAAAATCAATTTTTAAGTTCTTTAAAGTATCCATAAATGGTAAGAAGCTAAAAAGGGCTCCTGAAAATGGCTGAGAACAACTTTCAGTGAAGAATATCAGCTCTTTTCGAGTCACATCTCTTCACATCATAGCATTAAATCTCATTGTTCAATCGGATTAAGGAAAGCATTCAATTGTATGAGAACTTGTTATTTTCGAAAATTTCTAATACTTCTTCAGGCTTTAGGTCATTTTAAAGTTAAATTTACTGCTCCTAAATATCTTCAGACAATTCTTACCTGATAAAGCTTTTCATCTTGCTTTACCTGAGAATTTCCACCTTGGGTAGCTCATTAAATAATCGAGAATGGGAATGGAGGGAAGAGAATTGGGGAAAAGACAGAAATTGTAGTGTACTGCTGAATTTCCTTTCTCGTTGCCTATACGACGATCAGAATTGCGCGCCCCTTTGACATTGCCAAAATTCTTTCTCATTTAGAAGCTCTAGAATAAGAAAAATCTAGCTCTTGTCTTGCTTACTAGCTTTTCATAATCAATTTTGATTTACAACCAGTCTTTCATAAGCTTCTCATTATAGAATTTAGAGTTTAAAACCTGATCAACTGATAAATTAAGATCATTTCGATGTTCTCTGGTTAAAACTTATAAGTAAATAGTGTGTAAAGATCGGTTGTACACAGCTTTCCGTGTTCCCCAAATTTGCATCGATTTCCCTAATGGATGCTCTAATTGGTGGCTCGTTTTAATCGACTTTAGGGCTAATTTTCTTAACCAGAATGGGGGTATTTCAATGGATGAACACATTTCTTTATTCATTTCTATTCATTTCTATTCATTTCTATTCATTTCTTAAAATTACTGACTCAAAAAAGAGCACCATTTTCAATAACATTTTAGTAAACGTGGAATTCAAATGGACTGGAAAAAAATCCAAGTTTAGTTTCAAGTAAACTTGGAACTCAAATGTAACTCTATAGCTCTATACAATTGAATTCTTTTTCGTTTTTCCATTTTATTCATTAACTCCCAGCAATTCGATTCTTTCAAACCCATTTTTTAAGCATTATTATTCTCTTTACCATTTTTTTTCCTTTCTTTATTAATTCTCTAATTGGTGGCTTGTTTTAATCAACTTTAAGGCTAATTTTCTTAACCAGAATTGGGGTATTTCAATGGATGAACACATTTCTTTATTCATTTCTATTTATTTCTATTTATTTCTATTCATTTCTATTTATTTCTTAAAATTACTGACTCTAAATCATTTCTACATTAGTCGGAATTCAAATATTTCCTTGCATTTTTCGATTTCTAATTAGAAAAAGCCCAGTTTAAACTAAAGCTTAATCTTTGCTGAATAGAGCTTTTGATCCACTTGATTTTGCTTTATAAGTTGCATAAAACTTTCAAGATTTCATTTATTCAACATTGAGAGTTAAAGCGAAAACTTAACAAGCCGAAGCCTTATTCGATTCCTCAAAAATTCCTCACAGCTGTCCATCCCACAAAAGGAGCCCGATCACCCTTTTCTTTCCATTTTTTCATTTTTCTCTTTCCTCAAATCACCCCTCCATTTTATGCGACTTTCTGGCATCTGTTGTGCATTTCAATTAGTGAATTATATATGCGAATCTTTATGATCCCTTTTTCAAGGATTCCTTTTGTGGAATCCATTGTCCCTAGCTCTTCTCTTGACTTTTCTAAGCACTTAGACACAAAAATTTCATGTGTAATATAGAACTTTTCATGTAGAACTGATCTATTTCATGCCAGACACCCGGATCTTTCCTTTCCGGTCCTCTGGAATGTCCCTTCCTTCTTTTCCATTCTCTTTGATTGTAAATGATGTCACATTTGTTCCTTGTTTAAGCTGATTCTCAAAATGTTTATCTAAATGTTTATTCAAAGCTTTATCCAAATGTTTATCCAAAGCTTTATCCAAAGCTTTATCCAAATTCAAATCCAAATCTAAAAACATAAGCAACATTGAGTTTTTAGATTGAGTTAAAACTAGAGTTCGGCAAACAAAACCAAAACCAAAACAGATCAAAACCAAAACCAAAACAAAACCAAAACCAAAACACCAAAACAAACCAAAACTCAATTTGCATATAAATTAACATGTAAATTTAAAATTGTAAAATGCAAATTTGCCTTTCACTTTTTCTCACTCCCCAAAATTTCGCGGCCGAAAAAAGGACCAAAAAACGACCTCGAAATTTCGAAACAAAAAATAGCCTATGGGATAGATTTTTGGACGCTGATTTCAAATCTGCAAACAGATTTTCGCTAGCTCCTCCCAATCGCGAGATATTGGCGAGTTTTGGTTAGTTTTGGTTTTGGTTTTGGTCTGTTTTGGTTTTGGTCTGTTTTGGTTTTGGTCTGTTTTAGTTTTGGTTAAGTTTTGTTTTGTTTTGTTTTCCGAAGTCTAGTTAAACCCATTCTCTTCTTTATAAGATTCTTCTATTGAAGGTACTCTATTGAAGGTACTCTTTTCAAAAGATATCCAAATTTATTCTTTTATAATAATTTGAGGGTATCTTTTATGAATTCTATATTAGTTAGATTACATTATAAATAATTTCAGAGCACAAGTCGTTTATCTACGCCGAGGCGATTTGTGAGTTCTCTGGTTTACACGCCGACGAGCTCTCGTTCAACAAAGGAGATCTCATTTGGGTTTGTTCTTTTAAAATTTAGATAAAATCAATCAAAATTTCAAAATCAACCATGAAATTATAAAGAAAGCAGTGAAATGAAAAGTTTTTATTTAAGTTTTTTCAAGTTTCAGATATTTGCAAAGATTTAATAAGCTTTTAAAGATTTAACTTATAAATTTTAATGATAAAATTACCTTTAAGTTCCCATCGTTTTCTCAGCAATTTTTAGTCTTTATTTAGAATTGATTTCTAATGTCAGATTCGGCTTTGACTGTGATTATGTTTTCTTGTGTACCTTCACTTCTTTGATCTTCTTTGATCCGGTTATCACAAAGCTTTTCATCTTATTTCTTTTTTTTGATCTCATCGTAATGAGCTTTTAATAGGCTTTTAAGGATAATGGCAAGGGAAAAGCTTTTAAGCCTTAAAGTTCAGTAACTTGAAGAATCTAAGCTGATAAGCTAGTTGTATCATTCACTGTAAGCCTTATGTGCTTTATGAAACCTTTCGTAACTATTAGGGTGGTGCGGTAATTTGATTTGACGGTAAATTCAAAAAAAAAGATGGCGTTCGATGGTGACATGATCAAAATGGAATATTTTCGCAAGATCTCGAGCAGATTGGCATGAATCGGTCTGAATAACGTCCCTCAGCTTGGCTTCGTTCACGACTTCTGGCCTCGAAGCGTGCTCGTCATCTTCCAAAGTCTCGTCTCCCTCTCGGAATCGTTGAAACCAAGTCTGACGCTGCCTGAGAAACAAACTGCTATCACCGAAAGCAGCACAGAGAGAACGATGCGATTCGGCAGCAGACTTTCCAATTTTGAAGTTAAACAGTAATGCTGCTCGTAGCACAAACTTTTGCTCGACCATGATCTAAATAAAAAATATAAGCATTTTTAAAGAAAATAAACAACAACCAAAAAATTCAAATGTCGAAATAAATAGCAAACAAATATGCGAAAAAAATATCAAAAAAATAATGACGTTAGCATCGCTCGTTTCTGATAAATGAGAGCTGATCCCATCGGCAGTTTCTTTTGCACCACCCTAATAGAAAACGTCAATAATCATCTTGATTTTCTCAGCAATTTTTAGTCTTTAGAATTGATTTCTAATGTCAAATTCAGCTTTGACTGTGACTATGTTTTCTTGTGTACCTTCATTTCTTTGATCTCCTTTGATCCGGTTATCACAAAGCTTTTCATCTTATTTCTTTTTGATCTCATCGTAATCATCTCATTAGAAAGGAAGACTTGAAGACAAACAATGAATGAAAAGGAAAGAGAAAAGAAAGAAGAAAGGATCACACGATTCAACTTTTTACGATTAATCTCAGATTATGATGCTAATAAATGCTATTGTACTAGATTTCTTTAAAACTTTCATATTTAAATGAATTTAAAACTAGATTTGACTAGTCTTTACAAGGTTTTTCTGAAAATTTCAATTCATTTACCTTTCATTTTATTCATTTTATTTATAAATATTGAACTTTCAATAATATGTATGTTGTACATATTACTGAAAGTAATGCATACATATTACTGAAGGTAAGATGTATGTATGCATACTACTTTCAGTAATATGTACATATTACTACTTTCAGTAATATGTACATATTACTGAAAGTAATACATACATCTTGCCTTCAGTAATATGTATTCATCATCATGTTTACAATATTCTACGTATATAGAATAACTTTTGATTTACTCTGAATTAGATATTGATTCATTTCATTCTATAATGGATGAAACTAAGTTAAACCAATGCTTCTCTCTGTCAAAAGTATACAAATTTCAGTCTATTTGTTGCTTATTGCCTTTTAGTCGTATTGCAAATTCCTGGAGTGTTCCGTTTGGATTTCATTGGAAAGAGAAGAGCTTAAAAGTTTGGACACCCCAAGGCCCAGGAACAGATGTGCACCCTCAACAAGAGCACCAATTTCAAGAACATTTTAGTAAACTTGGAACTCAAATGTAACTCTACAATTGAATCCTTTTTCGTTTTTCTATTTTATTCATTAACTCCCAGCAATTCGATTCTTTTAAACCTATTTTTTAACCATGATTATTCTCTTTACCATCTTTTTTTTCTTTCTTTATTAATTCTCTAATTGGTGGCTCGTTTTAATCGACTTTAAGGGTAATTTTCTTAACCAGAATTGGGGTATTTCAATGGATCAACAAATTCCTTTATTCATTTCTATTCATTTCTATTCATTTCTATTCATTACTATTCATTTCTATTCATTTCTATTCATTTCTATTTATTTCTATTCATTTCTTAAAATTAATGACTCAAAAAAGAGCACCAATTTCAAGAACATTTTAGTAAACTTGGAATTCAAATGGACTGGAAAAAAATCCAAGTTTAGTTTCAAGTAAACTTGGAACTCAAATGTAACTCTATAGCTCTATACAATTGAATTCTTTTTCGTTTTTCTATTTTATTCATTAACTCCGAGCAATTCGATTCTTTTAAACCCATTTTTTAAGCATTATTATTCTCTTTACCATCTTTTTTTCTTTCTTTATTATTTCTATTATTATACTTTATACTTTTTACTTCTTTAAAAGCTGTAAATTGGCGTTTTTGGGTATCTTTTTCACTTGAAAGGACTAATTGACGGCAAGAGTTCAGAAAGATCTCTTTAAGGGAAAAGTAGAGACGAGTAAAAAGATGTTCCGATGGATATTTTTGTCTTTTCCTTTTCTTGCATAGAAAATAATGACTACTAAGCGAAATTTAGCGTTTTAAATCTTCTAGAACTTTTCTTGGAGTTGAGTAGTTTAGCCTTTCATGAAAGCACATTTTTTGTAGTCAAGCTTTAACATTCTTTAGCATTCAAGCTCTAGCATTCAAGCTCTAGCATTCGAGCTTTAACATTCAAGCTTTAGCATTCAAGCCTAGCATTCAAACTTTAGCATTCAAACTTTAGCATTCAAACTTTAGCATTCAAACTTTAGCATTCAAACTTTAGCATTCAATCATACCCCAGCCACCAACTCAGTTTGATCTTTATCTAGCTTAAACTATGTAGATTACTATAAAATGTAAGTCTAGCCAAAGCTGTAAAAGCCTATTGTACTATTGTACATTGTACTTAGCCTATTAAAAGCCTAAGCCTAAGCCAAAGCTTTTACAACCAAAGCTGTAAAACTTGTCAAGCATTTTCTTTTATAAATTCATTCAAAACTTGCACCTTGATACAACTTTAACACTTTCAATCCAAAAACCCACACTTTGTCCATCAAATTTTCTCAAAACTCTCTCAAAAATGTCATCAAACCACTCAAAGTTGATCTATTTCCCAGTTTCCCATGGGAATGCAAAAATGAAAGCTTTTTGTTTTACTAAAAAAAGAATATAGATTCTGATGGAAGCTTCATCAAGCTTTTCTATTCATCAAATCGTTCTATCAACCAATTCATTCAAAGAGAACATTACCTGAATGAGCAATTGAGATGCAGTCAAAACGATGAAACATTATGGGATGGGAAGGGGGTGGAGTGAGAATTCGATCTCAAGGGAACAGGGTAATGGCAAGGGAAAAGCTTTTAAGCCTTAAAGTTCAGTAACTTGGAGAATCTAAGCTGTTGTATCATTCACTGTAAGCCTTACTGTAAATACTGTAATAGTACCCCACCCCACTCGTACTCGTACAGTCGAGTAGTCGCAAAAGTTTTTTAGTATTTTTGCAAAGCACCTGTACTTTCAAAAAATGCGTCTTTGGTATCAAAAAATAGCCCTGAATTTCAGCTATTTTTTGATACCTAAGCGCGCATTGTAGCATAAACCAGTGTCGAGAAAAACTCATTCAAAGCTAGACTACGCAACACTTCGCACCGTCATTATGGGGGTGGGGTACTATTACAGTATTTACGGTATGTGCTTTATGAAACCTTTCGTCATTACCTGAATGAGCAATTGAGATGCAGTCAAAACGATGAAACATTATGGGATGGGAAGGGGGTGGAGTGAGAATTCGATCTGAAGGGAACAGGGTAATAGCAAGTGAAAAGCTTTTAAGCCTTAAATTTCAGTAACTTGGAGAATCTAAGCCGGATAAGCTTAGATTTGTAAGCTTGTAAAGCTTGTATCATTCACTGTAAGCCTTATGTGCTTTATGAAACCTTTCGTCACTAGAAAACGTCAATAATCACCTTGGTTTCCTCTTGATTGGTCAAAGAAATATGGGCATTCAGCGAAATGGCATGATGATGGGAAAAGAAAAGAAAAGAAAACCAGAATTCTTTCGTTTTCTTCTGTCTTTTGGTAAAGGCACCATTGGAGACAATGGCTTCTTTTCTCTGCCAATCTTCCAATTTGTTCTTATCGTTCTTATCGTTCTTGTCGTTCATTAGATACATAAAATATTTAGATTATCATTTCTTTTTAACAAATAAACCTTTTAAACTAATAGGATTTGTTTAATCCTGTAGAGAAATCAAAGCTTTTAACAGTTAAAGCTTACTTTTAGCTACACTGTATTCTGTAAAAGATCAATTCTGAATTTTCCTGATCTAATCTGATTTCTGATCAATTCTGAATTCTTTAAAAGAGAATAAAGCTAAGGAATCGTTTCTTTTACCCCTTCAGCTTCTCCTTTTTCCTTTTTTATTTACTTTTCTCAAAATTACGCATAAAATTTATTAAATCGATATTTTTTTGCTCTATTTTTGCTTGAAGATGAATTTCTTGATATATTTTTTGAATTCATTATCCCATTGATCGTTTAAAGATAAACAGATCAACTTTGACAGTCATTTTAAAGTACTCAGCCAGTAAAGTAGTCAGTCAAGTAGCCAGCCTTTCTAGATCTTATCAAAAGATTATTTTCTCAGTTCTATAAACTATTTACAGCTTTGATTCAAGCTATTGCATTGTAAAGCTGATATTTCAATTACCTTTACTTACAATTAATAATTAGTAATTGAAATTCAAATCCAAATCTATCAGTCAAATTACCCAAGTACTATTCTATTTGTTTCAAACTCATCCCTTTTCAACCCCG